GTCTGTCTAGACCACCCATACATTTTGTATGAAAATATACGCTTTTTATACCAGTATTTTGTCTTTTTCATGGTATTTTCTATTGAAACTGCGTTGTATATTCCTTGCTATGTGTTGTACATAAATGTTAGTATTTTCATGACGAGAGTTTCTTGAAAACCTACCAAACTTATTGGTAATCGCAAACACTGAAATCGGATGAGTAATGCAAACAATTATCAATTTTTTTACCCGTACTGCGTTCGAAATTTTTTTTGGCAAACCTGTATTGAAATTATATTTTCATTTTGAGTTTTACTGCTCATTTCAAAGGCGACGCACCTCATTTCGTTTCATTTGAATTTCACATTCATCGAAAAGAATAAATATTGTTTTCATTGATATAAAACAGAAAATTAACAAAAAAAGCAACGATTGTTTTATATCTTGATTTTTTTATATAATATAATATGTAATATTTTTATATAAGCAAGCTCAACACATGCAAAAAGACGGTAAGAAAAAGAAACAATCAAAACTATAAATATTAACACTATGCGTCCGGCGACACCACAGTGGTGTCGAGCGCGAACTAGCGCTTAACAGCCGGCGACACCACAGTGGTGTCATGAGCACAGTATCTTCCTTTGGCCAGTGGCAGAAATCTTTCCATCCTGTTGGTGTTTAATTAGATAACAAAAAAATTACACCCCTCAACATTAGTAAGAACTAAAAATTTGTAATTTTTCGATAATATTCAGAATGGTCGGGGACAAGCAAAGTGATAACGAATTAGCACTACCGGCGCCAAGCGAATAAATTTTTACAAAACGTGCGGACGGCAAAGTGTTAACTACTAATAATCGTTAATATATAAGACACCAAAAACTCATTTATCCCATAAAAATGCATGTAAAATGAATGGTGGTCCAGCCAGACCTTTCTGACCGTTCGAAGGTGAAAAAATATCCGACCGACGGAGGGTTAATAAATACAATTACAAATATTAAAGATTATTTGCATGTGGAATATTATTAAAATGAAGAAAACAACTTTGTAATAATCATATACTTATAATTAATGCTTTCATATTAATCGTTTAAATTATCCATGTTTTTTATCTAGTTTACTTTCAATAAGCTCATTCCATTATGTTTATGTATCTATGGCTTATTCGTGATTGGTCCTGATTCAATGCTGCCGAAATGCAAGTAGTGTTCTGTGTTCTGTGTCTGCCTTCGTTAGGTTTAATCCTTTGAGTCGATAAGTCGTATAGAGTGAAATAATAAATATCCCGTGTTTTTATTTGTGTTACTTTTATATATTGTGAGTACATGTTATATGAATGATTTACTTTAATTATTTATTTTTATTTCGTTAGTAATTGTGCAATTTTTGTGTTTAGTGGTTCAGAGACAATTACGGCGCCTTTCCGTGTGTTCTAAACCGCCATCAGACATACGTTCAGAAAATGTAAGTAAGAAATATATATAGAGTAGTAGTAGCTAGATTCTTAATATTATCCGAGTAATGTTTGGAATTAATTTACCACTGTATTATTTCATTTGACGTTGATGATTTTGCTGAGTAATTTTGTATTTTTTCTTAACTAATTGTCGAAAGATCAGCTCTCAGAATATTTGTCCTTCTCATTTATTCCTATAGGTACAATCAGTATACTGATTACCATTGATATCCAAACTGGGATATGTATGTGTTAATACTTACTTCAATAAAATACTTGAATAGAACAAAAACTAAGTTTTCCCGCCATATTTGATAAACTTCATTTGTGTTCTCATCCTTTGTTTTTATTTCTGTAACTTATATATTGTGATGATCTACTTCGAATATTATTAAAATCAAGTAAACAACTTTATAATGAACATATACTTATTATAATTGATGTTAATATATTAATCGTTGAAATTATCGATATTTTTTATCCATGTTACTTTTATTAAGCTCATTCGTGATTGGTCGAGATTTTATGCTGCCGAATTGCTATTGGCGTTGTGTATCTTCCTCGGTCTTCGTTCTGAGTTCTTTGAGTCGATAGGTCGTATAGAGTAAAGTAATAAATATACCGTGTTTTTATTTGTGTTACTTTTATATTTTGTGAGTACAAGTAATATTAACGATTTACTTTAATTATTTATTATTTTTTTGTTAGTGATTGTGCAACTTGTGTTTAGTGGTCCAGAGACGATTACGGCGCCTTTCCGTGTGTTCTAAACCGCCATCAGACATACGTTCAGAAAATGTAAGTAAGAAATATATATAGAGTAGTTGATAGATTCAGCAACAGCTAGATTCTTAATATTATCCGAGTAATGTTTGGAATTAATTTATCACTGTATTATTTTATTTGACGTTGATGATTTTGCTGAGTAATTTTGTATTTTTTCTTAACAATTTGTCGAAAGATCAGCTCTTAGAATATTTATCTTTCTCATTTGTACCTATAGGTATAATCAGTATACTGATTACCATTGATATCTACACTGGGATAAATGTATAATACTTACTTCAATAAAATACTTAAATAGAACAAGAACTAGGTTTTCCCGCCAAATTTAATCTTCATTTGTGTTCTCAACCAGATTTATTGTGCGGTGTCCTTAAGTTCTTTATATTGACACATCATTTGAGACATAAATGCAATAAATATCGTTTCTTTTTATTTCTGTAACTTATATATTGTAATGATCTACTTCGAATATTAATAAAATAAAGTAAACTTTATAATAAACATATACTTATTATAGTTAATGTTTTTGTATTAATCTTCGTTATAAGTTCTTTGAGTCGATAGGTCGTATAGAGTAAAGTAATAAATATACCGTGTTTTTATTTGTGTTACTTTTATATATTGTGAGTACAAGTTATATTAATGATTTACTTTAATTATTTATTTTTATTTCGTTACTTATTGTGCAAATTTTGTGTTTAGAGGTCCAGAGACGATTACGACGCCATTTCGTGTGTTCTTAGCCGCCATCAGATATACGTTCAAATAATGTAAGTAAGAAATATACATAGAGTCGTTGATAGATTTAACAAAAGTTAGATTCTTAATATTATTCGAGTAATGTTTAGAATTATGATTCTAAATTAATAATAAAATTATAATTTACCACTGTATTATTTTATTTGACTTTGATGATTTTGCTGATTGATTTTGCATTTCTTCTTAACCGATTGTCGAAAGATCAGCTCTTAGAATATTTATCTTTCTCATTTGTACCTATAGGTACAATCAGTAAACGATCTAAACTTGGATAAATGTATATTACTTACTTGTATATTTAATAACTAATTGGATATAGACTAGCTTTTGCCGCCATATTTGATCAACTTCATTCATGTTCTCGATCTGATTCATTATTGCTATGTGCTGTGTCTTTAAGTTCTTCCTATTGATGAATTATTTGAGAAATAATAGCAATAAATACCGCTTCTTTTTATTACTGTATTTTATACATGGTGAGTACAAGTTATATTGATGATCTTCTTAATTATTTATTTTTAATTATTGTGTTTAGAGGTGCAGGAACGAGTTGGCTGCCATCACTTCTGCTAGGTTAAACTGAACGTTTATAAGGTGAATATAGAAAACAAGTAGGTTATTAACAAAAGCATGATTTTCAATATTAATCGAATGATTTTTACAATGGATCTACAACTGTATTGCCTTGTTGTCATTTCGAGTTTTCCCAAAGCTGCTACATTTATTACAAAAATTTAAAAGCCTTTGGATGCAACCTGTTGTAGACCAGCGTTGATTAGTTTTGCCAGACAGACGATCGGCTAAGTCGTTTCTTTAGAATCACAGCAAAAAAACGTTACCGCTAAAAAGAGATCATTTGGAATCGTGCTGATTAAATTAATATTAATAATTATTATTATTAATTCATTATTAATTAATTATAATTAATTTATTATGAATTTTTTTGGACAATGTTGATGAAATTTAGTATAACGATATATTTCATGGTCTAAACTAACATAGTAAAATATTATAGGCCTACAATAAGTGGTAAGTGGCTATTTTGGGTTAACGTTTTTTTACTGATTACCGTTGACATGTTAATTGAAATAATTTATTTTATACAGTCGATAAATGAATCGTAGATTTTATGGTTTTAATCTTAGCTAACATACTAAAATATTTTAGGGTTATGATCAGTGTTGGAAATATAATAATTCAACAAAGTTTAAAATAAAAGACTATTTTAGAATAATTTTTTATACTGATTATCATTGATATTTGAATAAAATGCACATTAATTAAAGTTAACAATAAGCAGATTGACAATGTGTGAAGTGAAGTTTTTTTTGCGTTTGGAATATTAAAAAATATCGCATTGTTTATAGTAAAAACAAAAATTTTATCTAAATATCTAAATCTTTTTTTTATTGATTAATACTTTACTTATCAGTTTTTTATGTATTATTATAGATCATGTCTAGAACAGAAATTGCAATAATAAATATTTAGTTGAGATTAATAACTAAGATAAAAACCATTTTATCTTTTAAATTGGACCATATTAACATGGGTTACACAATTTTATTGAAATCCAATCACTATAATGATAAACCATAGATAAATAAGCATAAATAATAAACTATAAGTGATAAATTATAGTTTTGGGTTTTATCGCATACATGCATAATGACAGATTTTTTTTATATTTAAGTATATAGATTCTAAACATTTACGATTTATCAAATTTTATTGCACTTTTGTCTATTACTACAAATACAATAAAATCAATAAAACTGACAGAGGTTCAATAAAAACTATCTAATTCAAGCAATAATACTAAATTCGATTCTGAATTAAACTTATAAAATTAGTTATTATTATCACCATTTTATATTTTTTCAACAGACAGACCTTAATAATTAATTAACAATTAATTAATGTTACAATTATTTAGAATCTATGCTATTGCGTTTTATTTTATTATATATAATTGTTAATATTTACTAATATTTTTAGAATTTGAACATTAAATTTGAGAAGAGCAAGACGTTTTTCAATTTTAGTCAGTTCTACAAGGTGTAGTTTATAAACACATTATAGATTTTATATATCAATATTTTGTAACACATAACATTCTCTTTTACATATTCAAATAAGTTTTATCGAAAGAAGCAAAATGAGTGGCACTAAAAAGGATGATCATACTAATAGACCAGTAAGTTCTGACGGATCCAACGATGATGATCACGCAAGAGAACCAAAACGTTCTCTTCCAAATTCATCTGATTCAAAGTCATCACAGTCAGAAGATGAGAAAATTAAAGCTTCAGATCACGAGGAAATGAATCAATCTGTAAATGAAAAGTTAAAAGGGTCCGCTAAGGAGAAAATGGAGCAAACAATAGCCGAGAAAGTTGCAGTAGCCCGTCGAATATGGGACTATATGAGTGACGAGCGAAACAAGGACTTCGCGAATAAGATCAATGTTTTTTTCGAAAATTTCCAAACTAAATCAGAGGCTGATCAGAAGCAGGAAAATAAAACAACTTCTAAATGTTTAACTTCAAGCAAAGAGCCAAACACTTCTTCAAAAAAAGAGAAATTTGTAGTAAGACATGATCGCAAGAAGTATAGGGTGGGAAGAAGCAAAGTTATCGTAGACGTTACAATTGCAGGAAATGTTAAACCGAACCAAGCACCAGAAACTGAGAACTTTGAATCAGATTCAAACAACGATGAATCTGACTCTACTTCGAGCGACTCTGACTCACATCCAAGAGCTAGAACAGATACTAGAAAATCAGAACGAACTAAAAAACGTAAAAGATCTGTATCCTACAACGAGAACAACTTCGAAATTCCTGATGAAGAAGAGCGCGAGACAGTTTCTAAAAATTCAAGCTCCCATAAAAGAAAAAAATCTATCATCAAAAACACTTGCAGATTATCTAGCAGTGTTAGTGTTGAGACAACAGTCATCGAATACGAATATGACACACCAAAAACTGGTAATCAGGCACCAGAGGCGTTAGAACATGTAAGTAACATCAAAACTGTTCTAAAACTGCTATTACCAAAACCAAATATTTAAACTACTTAGCTAAAACTCACCCCTTTTCAATTTTTTTTCTTATTTAATTATTTTTCTAATTCAATATTTTGGGGATAAGAGTTGCTTCCCTTTTTAGGAACCATCAATAACAAGCAAAAAAAATTTTTACATTTATATACTTTTATTATTATTGGCTTTGTAAACTGGTGGAGTAGATCGAGGCTTAAAGGTCGGTAGATAAAAAGATCCACTATCATGCATGTTTCATTGTAAATTCCTTGTTACATTTTTTTCCAAGTATATAATTTTCAAACGACACGAATTTAAAGTACAAGGCCAAAGATAACCAGCCTTCTCTTTAATTCTGTCGCTATTAGGAAATAAACAGAAAGGTATTTATTTTCACAACAAAAGTATTTTTTTCGTTGGTAGTTGTTTATGGCTTTGAGATCTTTTATTTAGATTACCATACCTGAATATAATTTTTAAGTATACGGTTTTAAATGCTTTTATTCTAGAACTTAGATCATAAAAACAAGTAAAGTAAATAATTTTTTAACAATATTTGAAAGTAGAAGGAAAAAGTTGTATAACCAGCCATCATATTGATTTTTACGATGTTGCTATCGGGATATAAACGATAATGTTTGAAAATCCATAGCAAAAGTATTTTCTTCAGTTGTTTAGTTAACGCGACTTTAATATAATTTTTAAGTATACGTTTTTTCATTGTTTTATAAGATGTATTGGTAATTTTAAGTTAGATTCAACATTTTTTCAAGGATCAACTGAACTTTTACCCTGGCAATGGTATGAAGTAAACAATAAGAAGTAGTAAATTAGGATAAAAAAGCAATTTTACAAGAGATAAAATAAATAAATATCTATTTCAACTTTGCTGATGATATTTTGTGTTATCTCTAAAAAATGAACCGATGAAATGTATATTATGCGTTAGTTGAATAATGTAGCTATTATTTCGTGAAAAAATTATAAATTGGACTTGGTGCCTTCTGACCGTTTTATTTTAACCAGCCTATAGAATAAAAAAGACAGAAGCAATTTTTTGAAAAACAGCAAAAAAAGCTGCGGTTACAATTATGAATTGGCTGGAAGTTTTACTGAACATAGTCAGATCGTTGTTTGTTTGATATGTGTTATTTGTTGTGATATAATTGTTTTGGTTTTTACAATATAATTGCTCAAAGTCAAATTGGACTTTTGTGCCTCGCCCTACCCATTTATTTTTATCTATAACTACTCATTTATTTTTAGTCTTCTGCCAAAAGTCTTAACAACAAATGGTGTGCATTCGCGCCAGAAAATAAAAACGTAAACGTTATTTTTACTAAAATTATTTTCTGTAAATAGATAAATCATATAAATATAATTACTCATTAAGTTATTATATTTTTTAGAGTGTTTCCAGTGCAGTCGAAAGTAATAAAAAATGCGATCGTGATATTGCCCCACGTCGGACAACTGATTTCTCTTATGCTGACTTTGTGACTAATGCTCGTAGTAAGCAATTGAGTTCAAATAATAAACCTGGAAATTGCATGAAATCAAAGAATGAATTGTTAGCAGCTTCTTCAAAACTAAGAACGAAATTTTTGTTAGCAACGTAAGTAAATAAGTGAAATAATTCTTAGTTATTTTTTTGCAAATATAAATTTTCAAATTATTACTCAGGACTACAAATAATAGTTGTATTCCTGACTCTTTTCACATTAAATAACTTTTGAATATTCCCTTCAAGGCCGTATCATTCAATGTCCTATTGATTTTTTTTGTAGAATACAGCAGTAATTTGCAAACATATTTACTCCCCATTGCCCCTGCCTAATCTGCAAACATGTTTGCATTTGAATATGTTTGCAAATTAATGCTTTATACTGCAAAAAAACTCAGAAGATTTAATTATAACTCATTTAAGGTAAAAAGAGACAGAAACTAGTGGGGCAAATCGCTGGAACTTCCCGTACCAAAATTTTTTTTTTAAAAGATTAACATTTTTGGAAAAAAAATTACTCTGAAAAATTAGATTTTTGGGAAACTATAAATTTTTAACAAAAATTTACTTTTTTTGAAAAAAAAAAGACTTTTTGAAGAAAAGTGTATTTTGAAATATTTTGGAAATTCTGAACTTTTTTTCCAAGCAATCGTACTGCTTTAATTATATAGAGACAAAATATCGAAGCGCGTAAGCGCCGCGCCGCCGTCTAACGGATAAGCATTGGGACGGAACCCATAGGAATGTAAACAAAATTTACCCTTATTATTAAAATCTCTATAAAATATCTGATAATTTGATGTGCATATGTCTAATGATCATTTTTGACTGCCAGATGGCATTTATTTTTACTTTTTTTACTAGATCTCCGAAACCTGCGTTCATGTAAATTTAATCAGTTCTTCATCTTGTTAATACAAGTAAAATGTGTTTTGAATTATTCAAATCGGACGCTCCTTTCTCTTAAAAACTGAGTTACCGTTTTTGGCTCTTTTTGCCCCGAATCTTTGGAACGGCTAGACCTGCCTTCGCCAAAAACTAATCAGCACGAATTGAATGTTTTTTGAATAATTCAAATCGCTTTATCTGTGTTCCCGAAATCGTCGACGAAAATTTGTATCCGAACACACACACACACACACACATACATCCATTTTTTCTAAGGTATGCCAAAATATTCAGAAACCTCTGAAACGTAAAAATATATAAAAATTTTCATTTTCGATTTTTTTAGTCTAACAACGCATAAAGAAATATTGTTTTCACAATCTCTCTCATCATGTAATTGTGTTTGAAGAAATTTATGTAATTAAAATTAACATTCATTCATTGAATGCATGTATTTTTTTTTACTTTTTCGCTGGCGATACAGTCTCATTTTTAGAGCAACTGTAATATCTGTCTTGCCTATAAAAATATTTTCTATTTTAATGACTTCAAAGATTTATAGAAACTATGAATAATATAGAAATTATTTTACTAAACTTACGTTTCTTACACAAATGTATTATTATTTTTATTTTAATTATCTTCAGGGACAGGTTCAAATATTATTCCAATTCAGGCATTTTTTATTAAATCAAGATTTTTACTACGATGTAATCTTAAAATCTAATGACATTCCGATATAATGCTACTCGGTGGCGCATACAATGTACGCCGGTACACATACGACGAAAGATCTCTATTCACTCGACACGACGACTAATCACAATCGACCCGTATAGAAATGATCTAATCGAGAGCGAATGACGAACAGTTCGCGTGTAACGCTATTTTCTTTGAATTTTTACAGGTTTACCCCCTGTCGCGCCTGAAGAAGTGTCACTTCAAAAATACACATTTTTAAGTCTGTTTGAAACATGTCACTTCAAAATCGCCTTGATTAGATTTTTGTGAAAGTAAAAAGTTTATTTTTGAAATAAACAGTTGGAAATATCTAAACAGGTCAATCTCATTATAAGTCGATTATTTACAGTTTACACCTATCGGGAAGTTCATGCAACTAAGGGAAAATGCCACTTACTCTTAGTTTCGTAAGCGGCTATGAATATATCACAATTTTTTCTCAAATTTTTGACTATTTTATTGATCGCTTTGGAAATTTTTCATCATATAGGATAATTGGCGCAATAGTTTGAGAATTGCAAATTTAATAAATCAAATTTAATTAATTTTATTAATACTATTAAAATTTTTGCAATACTTGATATTTAAGTTTTAAATTTACCGTCGCACTATTTGTTTATATATAAATATTGTTTATATTAAATCAAGGTTATGTTTTTATTTTAAATTTAAGTATACACACACATATATATATATATATATATATATATATATATATATATATATATACATGTATACACATGCATAATCTGTAAGAAAATAAAAATATGACTCAATTCATTGAAGGCATAAAATGAAGTCTGAAGATGAAATGATGGGAAATTTTTAAAAGCATTTTTAACTTCCCGTGGGGCAAGTTATAGTAATCGCAAAAAAATCGAAAATGAAATTTTTTATATATCTTTACGTTTCAAAGGTTTCTGAACATTTTGGCATACCTTAGAAAAAATAGATGTATGTGCGGATACAAATTTTCGTCGACGATTTCGGGTACACCGATCAACCGATTTAAATAATTCAAGAAACATTCGATTCATATTGATAAGGAAACATGCTGATTAGTTTTTGGCGAAGGCAGGTCTAGCCGTTCCGAAGATACGGGGCAAAAATGCCAAAAACGTCAACTCAGTTTTTAAGAGAACGGAGCGTCCGATTTTGATATTTCAAAAGCATTTTACTTGTATTGACAAGATGGAGAATTGATCTAATTTTCATAAAGGCAGGTCTAGCGGTTTCGGAGATCTAATGAAAAAAGTAAAAAAAAAAAATGACATTTGGCGGTTAAAAATGATCATTAGACATATGCACATAAAATTTTCAGATATTTTATAGAGATTCTAACAATAAGTATAAATTTTGTTTACATTGCTATGGGTTCCGTACCAATGTTTATTCATTAGATGGCGACGCGGCGCTTATGCGCTTTGACATTTTGTCTCTATGCAGTTAAAGCAGTACGATTGCTTTGAAAAAAAGTTCAGAGTTTCCAAAAAAATTTAAAATAAAGAAAAAAAGTAATTTTTTGTAAAATTCATAGTTTCTCAAACCGGTATACCGATATTGCTTTCTCTAATACACATTATCAAAGTCTCCATAAAATATCTAGTAATTTGATGTGCATATGTCTAATAATCATCTTTGACCGCCAAATGGCGTTTTTTTTGTACTTTTTTACTAGATCCCAAACATTTAATCAGTTTTTCATTTTGTCAATACAAGTATAAAGGTTTTTTGAATTGTTTGAACTGTTTTTGGCACTTTTTGCCCCGTATCTTTTGAACGGTTCTTGGGAACTGTTCTTTAGAACGGGATCTTGGGAACTTAGATCTGTCTTTGCCAAAAACTAATTAGCACGTCTCCTTATCAATATGAATCGAATGATTATTTTTAATTATTCAAATCAGTTGATCGGTTTTCCCGAAATCGTCGACGAAAATTTGTATCTGCACATTCACACACACATACATCCATTTTTTCTAAGGCATGCGAGAATGTTCAGAAACCTCTGAAACGTAAAGATATATAAAAAACTTTATTTACGATTTTTTTTGCGATTACTATATCTTACCCTACGGGAAGTTCACATGGCCACATAATATCGTTCAAGTGAAGTATTTCCTTATCTATGACGTTAGCTTTTTCTAGTAATAATATTGCAAGTTTTTGATTTTAGATTCACAATCATTTAATAATTTTGCATTTGTCTCATATTACTGATAGTTATAATTTTTTTTAGTGATGGCATCGACCACTCAACGCCTCGGGGTAGATCTGAAGATAAGGATAATGAAGAAAGAATAGAAAATGACCAAATGTCAGATGTTCTGGATCTAGACATTAGCGGATTCCCTTCAGACACTTCACACCAATCGACCCCAAAGTCAACACAAAATGACCAGCAAACTACAATGTTGGCATTGCAGGAACCACTTGAATCCATGCAGGAACCACTTGAATCCATGCAGGAACCACTTCAATCCATGCAGGTGAACAAAATTTAAGTAGAAAATTATATATATATATATATATATATATATATATATATTAGGGTGGTCCTTAATATGGACGTTTTCGAAATTTCTTGCTCCCAGGGGCCCAAATGCTTCCAAATTGATAAAAAATATCTTTTATAAGTTTTAGCTCTTAATATTGACTTTTAGATAGTGCGCAATTCAATCAAAGTTATGTATGGAAATAGCATGGAAGAATTTTCAAAAATGTTTTTCAGATATAACATAGCGAACAAATAAATGAGTTTTATTTAAAATTCGACGCTCTACAAAACAAATTCTAAAAAACCTGTTTTGTAGAGCGTCGAATTTTCAATAAAAGATGACACGAATTGTCACTTTTAATTCATTCGTCGATTAAGTTATACCTAAAAAACATTTTAAAAATTTTCGAAATTTGTTCCATGCTATTTCCATACGAAGCTTTTATTGAATTGCGCACATCTAAAAGTTAATATAAAGGCTAAAACTTTTAGAGATTTTTTTTATCAATTTGGAAGCATTTAAGCTCCCGGGAGCAATAAAACTTGAAAATGTTCATATTAAGGACTACCCTGATATATATATATATATATATATATATATATATATAGGGCGGGTCGATTTGTATGGGTAAAAAGTCACATGGGCACATATGATTTTCGTATACTAGGGATCAAAATAAGATATCAAAATAAAATGAATTCTGATCCCCCTGTGCATTGACCCAAAGATTTGGTCAAATTTTAATAAATCTTGTTTTGGATCATTTAGAGCGCCTCAATAATGTTCAAATGTATGACCGACCCCCAGTAACTTTGAAAGGCCGATTTACCCATGCACATAGATCACCCCATGGAACCTTCCCTTAGAGGGTCCCTCATAGAAAAGTTGCATCATTTTGGGTACTTCAATATGACAAAAATCTGCTATTTATTTTTATTTTGAAATTTATTTAATCATAAGATATGTAAATAAAACTATGTAAAACTCATAAACAATTGTTTGAAGTCTTTTTTAGTTTCAAGCCTAGAAAATTTTGGACGGCTCTCTAATATTGGAAAGATTGAAACAAAGAAGAATATCAATATTTTTTTTTGTAAAAAAGTTTTTTGTGTGTGTATGAATTAATATCTGAAAAAAAAGTTCAAAAAAACATTTTTTGCTGAGTAAAATACCAAAAACGATGATTTTTTCCAATATTTGTATGGGCGACTTCTAAGGGGAGGTCCCAGGGGGTGAACCATAGGCATGGGTGGATTGGCCTTTCAAAGCTAGTTGGGGTTTGTTATACATTTGGGCGCGATTGGAGCACTCTAAATAGATTAAAACGGAATTTTTCGAAATTCAATCTTTATCTTTGGGTCAATGCACGGGATATCAGAATTCATATTAGAGGTATGGTTTATTCCCTAGTTTTGACCCCCTGGTATGCGAAAATGATATGTACCTAAGCGACTTTTAAATCGACCCGCCCTAATATATATATATATATATATATATATATATATATATATATTAGGGTGGTCCTTAAAATGGTCATTTTCGAATTTCCTTGCTCCCAGGGGCTCAGGATGCATGGAAAGAGCATCTAAAAAATTTTGAATATTTAAAAAAATGTTTTAGGTATAACTTAGTGATAAATGAATGAGTTTTATTCATTCATTTGTTCGCTAAATTACATCTAAAAAACATTTTTAAAATTTTTGAAAATTTTTCCATGCTATTTTCATACAAAACTTTGATTGAATTGCGCTCTATTTAAACGCTAATATGAAGAGCTAAAATTTCCAGAGAATTGTTTTTTATCTATTTGGAACCATTTGAGCTCCTGGGAGCAAGGAAATTCGAAAATGACCATTTTAAGGACCACCCTATATACACCCTAATATACATATATATTATATATGTATATTAGGGTGGTCCTTAATATGAATATTTTTAAAATTTTTGCTCCTAGGGGCGCTAGGATTGATAAAAACTTCTCTTAAAGTGTTAAATGAATTAAAAGTAACAATTATTGTCATGTTTTATTTAAAATTTGACTCCTTTTTTCTAAAATATGCAAATACTTTCATAATAAGTGTGATTTGTCGTTGAGTTATAAAATTATTTGCCAGATCATGAATTTTGGAGATGGAATTTGTTCGCTTATTGAAAACTAACAATTGAAAAAAAGTTTTCTCTGTATTTTATTTTTTGATTTGATTATCCTTAAATTAAATTTATATTAAGGAGAGAGTACGATTTCAAAAATTTTATTTTTTTGTCGATCTAAATTGTTTGACAACAAAATTGCAAATAGTGTGTGTATGTACTTGTGAGTTTGTCAGCGGAAATTTGACCTTTTATTAACGTTATATCAAAAACGGCTATATTTAAAATCTGCTCTCTCCATCTATTTAGGAAACCATTTGATAAAACTAGACAAGGTAGATAGTCCAGTCATTTTAGCATTTCACCTCGTAATGTGAGATACCCAGCTGTAACTTTGTAAATAGTTGTATATTGACACCCTTAATGTTGTCTCAAAACCTACATATGGTAGGGTGTGCGCAACTATAAAATTTCGGGGTCAAAGGTCACAAAAATCGCGGTTTTTCGCTTTTTTTGTAAATATCTCATTTCCTATGGGTTTTTTGCTATTTATGTTTATTATCAATATTGTAGAATACAAAATTCTCTACAAATTTTGTTTGAAAATTTTTTTTATACGGTGAACCGTTTTCGAGATAGAGGGCGGAGAGCGCGCGGTCATAGCATCCCTTCAGGTCAACCGATGCCTTCGGTCAAAAACGCGCCATATATAGTTGATGAACTATCGCTAGATTAATGATTATAAACATTTGTCAATTTTTATTAACTATTTTATTATATTTTGTCATTTTTTTCTAAACTATCCACTTTTTATTCAGTATTAATTTATTTAACAACACTTACCTGCCCATTAAATTGCAGAATTGTTAATATAAGAATTATATTTAAATTTAAACCTAATTAATATTAATAAATTCTTACATGATAAAAAAACAAATAAATTAGGAATTTATCTTTTTATTAAAAAATATTATTTTATACATTTATTTTTTTCAAAGTAATAAAATGAAATAAAGGGTACAAAACTACAATTAATAATTTTAATCATCTTCTTCCTCTTCATCGTCGTCTTCCGGCTGCTGGTGAATTTCAGACTGGTCTTCATTGTCGTCTTCAACGTCATTTGTTTCAATTTCTTCCATAATTTCGGTATCCAAAGTTTCATCTTCGTTAATGTCGCTCTGGTATGGTAAAGAATTGAAACAAGCTTGTCCATTACATTGGCCACAATCTAAAGAGCATTGCAAGCCCGCTTTCCTGCATCCGCATCGCGAACCACAACCACTCTTGCAGTTGCAGAAAATTGTATTTAGCAAATATTCTGGAGCAGGTGGTAAAATTGTCATGATAGGCTCCAGAAAATCGTTTCGCATTGCCCAACCCCATACCTTTGGTTCCAAATCATGCCCTAACCAAGTTTGAACTTGATAATATACACGTTCAAAATGTTGATGAGCAGCTGCACTTTTTGGTGGAATATTTGCAAGCTGAACAGGTTTATTAAGTTTTGTAGACTTAACGTAATGAATATAACGAAGATGATCGAGACTTTTCACAGATTTCGGAGCATTATAGACTGCCAGTAAGATTTGAGTTCCACTCTCTAATAATCTCTGGGTCGAACAATTTTCTTCCTCAAATGCTTTAGCTAGTTCATCCAAATTTGTCAGTTTCTCAAAAACTTTTAAAAATGTTTTTTTTCCCCTTTTAAAAGGCCCAGAAGTTGTGTCACATCCACTTAATGCGTGCAGAAATAAAATATGTGTTTTGGAATGAGGATAATTATCAAAACTTTTAGTCGAGTATATCTCCGTTTTTACACTTCCTGTCCCAACTTTTTTAAAGAAAATTTCTTTTCCGTGGGACAGGGTACGCCCAATTAAAATGACGAGTAAATCAATATCTTGTCCTATTATAATTGCAGATTTTCCAGACATTGATTCTTGAATTGCACTCTCAACAATAAGGACATCCGCATCATCTCTGGCTTGTTTTGTAGTTATATTTGCAGCCTTTAAATTTTCTATTAACATGTTAATTAGCCTAATTTTATTATTTTAATTTGATAAAAAAATTCTTGAGAAACTGGTACAACTATTGTTTTATCGAAACATACTTATATGATTAACATATGATTTTGAAAGTGCAGTTCTTCTCAGCTGCTCCATAGCTTTTACGTTCTTACTGTAGTCTGAATATCCGTCAAATACAACAATTATTTTGGACCTGTAATGCCTTTGTAAATAATTTATGTATTTATCAATTATAATAGAAAAAGTATCTTCTCTGCTGGATTGGAAGGAATGGAAGGATTTTGAAATTTACATTACATTTAAAGAAAATGCACTTAATTATTTTCTATTTAAAATTTAAGAGTGTTTGTGAAACAATAATCATATTATGATTTAAGTTTTTTCCTTAATTATTTTTTAATTTTAGTGATCTGAATTTAGGTGATCAGTATTATTGAATAAATATAGATTTAAGGCACGAAAAAAATGACAAAATATAATAAAATAGTTAATAAAAATTGACAAATGTTTATAATCATTAATCTAGCGATAGTTCATCAACTATATATGGCGCGTTTTTGACCGAAGGCATCGGTTGACCTGAAGGGATGCTATGACCGCGCGCTCTCCGCCCTCTATCTCGAAAACGGTTCACCGTATAAAAAAAAATTTCAAACAAAATTTGTAGAGAATTTTGTATTCTACAATATTGATAATAAACATAAATAGCAAAAAACCCATAGGAAATGAGATATTTACAAAAAAAGCGAAAAACCGCGATTTTTGTGACCTTTGACCCCGAAATTTTATAGTTGCGCACACCCTACCATATGTAGGTTTTGAGACAACATTAAGGGTGTCAATATACAACTATTTACAAAGTTACAGCTGGGTATCTCACATTACGAGATTCTTGCCTAATTTAACCTAAGATGACTGGGCTAAGAGCTTTTTTTATATTAAGGATAGTACACTGCAGCTTATGGAACACAATAAACAGTTCTAATAAAAGCAAAAAAGCAATAATAATAATAATGATTAAATATCGATATTATTTTAAAAAAAATATTTACAGGAACTCGTACCTGTTACGTCTGCTTCGGAAATTAATCCACAGCCTACAATAGTAGATACCACCATTCTTCCTCCACCACTTCTTTTCGGTCCAATTCTACCCGGAATGTATCCAGTACCGCCACACCCGTTTTTGGGTCCCATGCATCCCCACCCACCACCTCGGTTTTGGGGCCCAAATATTTTTAACCCTAATTATAGGGGACCGAGGAGGCACCGGGGACACAGAGGAGCGAGGTTTGGCAAACGCCCGCGAACTGAAGGCCCATAGAGGTAGAAATACTTAGTATAAATTTTACTTAAAATGTTCTTTGTTGATTATATACCCTAATATATAAATATATATATATATATATATATATATATATATATAAATATCTATTCGATTTAAATGTCGCTTAGGCATATATGGGTTTTGGATACTAGGAACAAAATAAGATACTTTGCTGAAGAAACCATATCTTTAAAATGAATTATGATGTCCCGTGCATTGACCCAAAGATAAGGGTTAAATTTTTGAAAATTCCGTTTTGGCACATTTAGCGTGCCCCAATTGCGTCCAAATGTATAACCGACCCCCATCAACTTCAAAAGGCCGATCCACACATGCCCGTTCGTTCAACCCCTGAGACCTCCCCTTAGAGGTCTTCCATGCAAAAATTGCAAAAAATCATTGTTTTTGGTATTTTTAGCAAAAAATGTTTTTTTAAAACCATTTTTTCTGATATTAATTTAGACACACAAAAAATTTTTCACAAAAAAAATATTAAAATTTTTTGTTTCAATTTTTCTTTTGTGGCGCCGACAATAGACAGCCGTGCGAAATTTTCCAGACTTGAAATAAAAAAAGGCGCTTTAAGCAATAATTTATAAGTTTTACATAGTTTTATTTACATATGTTATGATTAAATAGATTTTATAATAAAAATAAATCGCTGATTTTTGTCATGTTGACAAATGATGCAATTTTTGTATGCGGGACCTCTAAGGGAAGCTCACAGGGGGTGTACCATAAACATGGGTATATCGATTTCGGCTTTCCAAAGTTATTGGGGGTCGGTTATATATTTCGACACTATTGGGGCGCTCCAAATGAGCCAAAACAGGATTTTTTTTAAATTTGACCCAATCTTTGGGTCTATACACGGGACATCAGAATTCATTTTAGAGATATGGTATATGGTATCAGAAAATCATATGTGGCCTATGCGACTTTTTTACGCATACAAGTCGCATATGTGTATATATATATATATATATATATATATATATATATATATATATTGAATAGTCTTGAATTTGATGTTGATATATGTTTAATTTGAGTTTAAAATTCGGGCGTAACATCAATAAAAATAGTATGACAATTTTTTTCAAAGTTTATTTATTTAAAATCCATACGTTTCGGCTAGCATCTTAGATTAATATGGATTAATAATGGTTTCATATGCTATATTAGGATACAAAATTGTAAGTGTTTTATTATTATTATTATTATTATTATTATTATTATTGTTTTTTTATGAAATTTCTTACATATAACTTATTTAGTTTCAATTTTTATAGTTAATTTGATTACCACTGAATGATGGCTAAGATGCTAGCCGAAACGTATGGATTTTAGATAAATAAACTTTTAAAAAAACTCTCATACTATTTTTATTGATGTTACACCCGAATTTTAAACTCAAATTAAACACACACACACACACATATATATATCTATATATATTATAATATATATATATATATATATATATATATATATATATATTTGTGTGTATATTTACTTAAGATCTATTAAATTTTGGCTACATTTTGGCCGATACACAACAATCCTTGTCAGAGATTTTGAAAGTCTATGAATAGAATTGTTTGTTAGATAAGAAGTGAAGCGTGGTTATCTAATATTATTAATTATACTTATTTTATTTTAGGGCCGTCGCAGAAGAAAATATATGAAATGAAATTATTATATATACTATATACAATATTATTTTTAATATTATTGTTTAAAATATTTTATAGTATTATTTTTATAATATACTATTTTTGTATATCATTTTATTTTTTAATTTTTAGAACATTATTATTCATATTTAGTTCAAATCATTATTAGTATTTATCTACTGAACAAAGGTAAATAGGTAAAATAATCAATTTCAAGCTTTTGTTAGTATATATATATATATATATATATATGTGTATTATATATCCTTTATATAGATAGTATTTCCAACGCTTTAATTTTCTTTCTATCTTTGCACATTCATTATTGTAAAAATTAAAAATTTCTAGCTCCCAAACACCTGAAAAATGTAATATAAAATAACAAATCAAAATTTGTTAAATACTTTTCATTTTATTAAGTTTTGCTTAAAATAATATAATATACAATAATTTGTAAATATTTTCTTCATACTTTATTAATATGAGGTTTACGGAGTTAAATTCTCCACGGTCATAATTATCATCGTGCATTTGTTCTATCAAAATTTGGTACAGAACCATCACAGTAAACAACGCGATTGCACTACACTATACTACTTTATTATTTGTCTTTTCTTTTTTCACAGTAAAATTTATTCCTTCACCAACAGCCTTGCAAAGCCGATAATTGTTGAGAGGCGCCGCATCCAACCGTTCCTTGAATAAAATCAGGGAAATTACTTTCTAGAACACGCATTTTTGGTGTTTGAGATCTGGCATAGCATGCGTAGCCAAATGACAATTGTCACCACGGTATACAATTTTGAAATTCTTTGGTAAGAATTCTGTATTGGTATCCCATCTATAAACGTTGCTGTGGCCTTCGTGTCTGAAGAAAATAGCAGAACCACCATCAGTACCGAGGATAACAATTTTAGTGGGTTTTGGTCCTAAATCTTGAATACGGCCCTGGGCACAACCTTGGCGTAAATAGTCAGTTCTGATAGCAAACATTCTCAAACTGCTTAGGTAAGTGAAATACAAGTAGTTGGTTCCACAATCCTTTGTGACTAAAGCAATGTACAAAACGTCTTTGCGAGAACAGCCGTTTATAACTTGTTTAGGTAAAACTACTCTAAATCCTTTGTTAGCTTGGACGTCGTATACCAAAATAGCGCGTGTAGCAGCATCACTCACATATAAGAAGACACGGCCATCAGGAGAGTATTCGACACCGAAGTATTGGAGACGAGAGTTTTCTGATGTCAAGGGAGATAAATCGATGGTCTTCAAAGCTTTGCCAGTCTTGGTGTCGAATGCAACAACCTTGGGTGGACAGCGACGAATTGGATTTTCCAAAGTTTCAGTTACACCAGTATCCAAAGCCCACAAGATTTCCTGAAGACATCAAAGTAAGTTAGTAATGTAATTGAAATATTATAAAGAAAAGTAATTTTTGTGCTTCTTATCTTACTTGTCTGTCTAGGAAAACATCGACAACGCTTTGCAAAGCGTTGCAGTTGCCTTCTTCCTGCATGGACCAGCATGGGAATGGAGCAAATGTAGCTGCGCAACCCTTCTTCAAACTGGTTTTGCCTAAAGTGACTGGAACACCTGGCTTGAATCTTGGCAGAGCGACGAAGATTTCATCCCTTAATATTTGGGCACGGGTGGCGATGACATTGCTCGGGATAAAGCGACCAGAGCTCTTGTAGATGGCTTTTGTAGATGGGCATGGCCAGGCAAAGGAGCCTCCGAGCCATTGTAAAAGTGGATGCAGAGGTTTGGCACATTCAACGGGTTTTTCAAAACAAGGTAATTTAGCGGCTTGTGTCGCACATAGTAAAGCCGCGATTATAATAAATTTCAGCATCTAGAAGTAATATAAATAATCGACTTAGTTAAAATTTACGAAGAATGCAAATTTGAATCTTTGATTTCTAGATTGTATCATTATATTCATAACTTTTTAATAAAATCTTACCTTGCAATGCTACGTCTTGTAATACGTGATCAAAATAACTATGTATAAACCTCTATACAATTTTATTATATATACCTAGTATAAAATAAAATAGGAAGATAAAAGTTCTCATAATATACACATTTTATTTAAAATAACAATACACTAGAATAAACATTTTTGCAGGCGAAATATTTGTTTACCAACATTTCTTCCCAACCGGAACAAACTTGACCTTGCCGCATATGTAGAATTGCGCCAGGAACATGATCAATACCATCCAACGTCTGCAGATTTTTCCATTAGATGGTTAGTAAATTGACAAATGAGGATAACCAGGTGCTAAAATAACCGATACACTGAGGGTAGCATTATCACACATGAGGTTAATGAAACAAACAAGGTAAATATTGATTTTAATGGTGTCTAAATTATGATTGTAGAGTATAAACATTTTTAGTAGACACCTAGCAAATATGATGAAGAAAATTTCTTATATTTGCTATAAATGAGCAGAAGAATTTTTTTATTGGTTTTATAATGAGCAGAAGTTGTTTTAGTAGTGTTAATACTCTAAATAAAAAATATATTAGAGTAAAATAAAAAAAAGCAAAGAGTACAAATACAAAGAATAATCATTAGTATAATCTATATAGATTATATAATAAAATATATTTGCGGTTATATATCTATATCTATTATATGTAGAGTTCGTTTCACGATGTTGGTTCGCGATGGACGTCTAAACTGCTGAACCGATTTTAAATTTGTTTTGTTCACCGTGTGCATTTATATCCGACTTGGGCTATGGGTAATAATAAAAATAACATTTTATATTCGAAATATTTAAATTTTATATTTTTCAATTAATTTTGATAGTTTTGAATTAATATCATATGTAATCTATAAAAATAACATGTGATAAAATTTATAATTAATATAAACAAAATATTTATTTTATTGGAGTGCGTAATATATTTTAAATCAGTACTTGCTGCATTACTCGAATTTGTAAATATTTTCTAAATAATTATCCTAATGACAAAAATTCGAACAAAATACAAAATATAAGTCTTAAAAAAATTTCATTAATTTAAATATATTTTTTTATATAGTTAGAAAATGATTTAAACAAAACTTTATATTATAACTATTCATGAAATATTTTATAAATTTCTAAATATTCTATCAAAATTGTAATTTTTTTTATATAATTATCTTAATTTTAAAATAAATAAATACTTATAATATTAAATTACAAATGTTCGAAACAAATATATTCTTTCAACTCTCAAAAAAATTTCATACGTTTTGGTGTAGCAGTTTTCAGATGTTCAGAAAATTATTGAAAAAAATCTTACTTTACTAAAACTATTTTC